CTTAATGAATTTTTCTGGTAGAAGCCAGTCCATCTGACCTGTGGGGTATCCCAACAAACTAAAATTGTAGATCAAATTTCATTGTAAATAAATCAGAGTATAAACAAATACAATCTAAAATGAGACTTTAAATAAGTTTAAAGCAAAGGCACATACACAAAAAAAGGGGTGACTTACTCTGGACCTTAGAAGGACCTTGTGTAAGTATCCTGCTGTGGTGCACAAGGAAAAGTCAGGCTAGCCCACCTTTTTATTCCTTGTGGCGGGCAGGTGAGAAGGGGCGTGGGGATTCTGCATCTATGAAAGGGCTGAGAATATCAATCACGTCAGCCTTTAAAGCGACATTTCAGGGCTCCAAATGTGCTCTTTCTCAGTGGCCGTGGCACTTGCCTCCATGCGGCTTGGAGTTTGAAATAGGGTTTCTCAGCCTCACTACTACTGGCCTCTCGGGCCAGACTTGTCTTTGCTTTGGGTGGGGGGGCTGTCTTGTGTGTTCAGCAGCACCCCTGGCCTTCATCCACTGTATGGCAGTAGCACACCCCCTTCCAAATTATAACAACCAATAATGTCCCCAGATAATGCCAAATGTCCTGGGGGGTGGGGATGGGGGGTGGGAGGCGCGGGCGGGCAATCATCCCTGGTTAAGAACTAAGGTCTAAATGGGGAGCTGGGGATTCAGCAAAGAGTCACACACGTGGAACTGGTCTTACCCGCCCGGCTCGGACTGAGGGAGGGGAGGAGAGGTATGAGCACATCACAGGGGCTTTGGCTCAGGTTATGGGGCCCGGGGAAGACTCCCCGAGGAAGGCACACCTGAGAGCTGAGTGGAGATTAACTGGGTGGGAGTCAGGAGAAGGAGAGGGCAGACCAAGGAACCACGGGACAGGGGCCAGCAGTGCCGGGTGTAGCTGGAGTGGGAGGCCGCATCGGCCCAGATGAAAATGCTGGCCTTTGTCCTAACAGCGCTCAGAAGCCACTGGGAAGATCTGAACCAGAGAATGATACACGCAGGTCTGTGCTTTACAAAGATCCCTGGAGCTTCAGCTAAGCATAAAAGAACCTGGAGGACCAGGAGTGGAGGAGGGAGGCCTGGGAGGAGGTGCTGCCGATGGCCAGTTGCTTGTAGACCAGGGAGAGAGTGCAGAACGGTGGGTTGCAGAGTGAGTAGTCAGAGGTCAGACCTAGAGGCCTGGCGATGACAAGAGGTGCTGGACAAGGAGGGGCATGAGGGGGAGAGAAGCCGTAAGGACGACACTCAGGTTTTGAGTGCAGGAGGTGAGCCACACTGGAGGAGATGAGCCAGGGGACCATGGCTTGGTTCTGGCCTCTCCCAGGAGCCCACCGTGGCCAGGCTCCCTCCCAAAGAGCCCCAAGCCCCAGGCAGCCCTAGAGAGCAGGACGGCCTCCCTGCTTTATGAAGCTGGCAGCTGGAGAAAAGAGGAGATTGGTTTTGACAGGGAGGCATCCTTTTGCTCTTCAACTGCCAAATCACAATGCAGTCGGTGAGATTCGCTTTGTGTGACTGAGACAGGAAGGAAGGGATAAATTAATGAAGCATCCCCACTGCCCTGAAGAACCCCGGGAGGCATCGCGCTGCCTGCCGCACGAATGCCACCAGAGCAAGGACATCAAACAAAGAGCTGAAGGGAGGCTTCCACGGAGATGCGGGGGGTGACATGACAGAGTGCGGACACTAGGTGATGCTATCACACCGTTTTAAAATAGCCCAACTGAAGTGGCTTCCAGTTTCTCAAGACAGGAGGTGGGCAAGTCAGAAAAGATCTACACCCCCATCTTTCCAAATGCCAATAACAAACCAAGGAGATTTATATATTGAGAAGCTCCCATCCCTCACAATGATGATCATGTCAGATTTCCTGACTTCTACATATTTTCTCAGCTCCTACCATATTCTTATTTACCCCCCTTATTCTGAAGCCATTGCTCCCCGCTCCAATTAGTGGTAAGCTGTGTGGATGGGGATGCACATATCTCTAACAGTTACATCATAACCACATAAATAATTCTATCACCCACACAAAGATGCAACCATTCTTCTTATTTATTCTTTGCAATTCAAATAGCTGGGTTTTTCTTTGCTGATTAAGATGATTCATGTTAATGGTTTTTAAAAAGAAACCCAAGTAATACAAAAAAAGAAGTTTAAAAAAATCACCCCAAATTCCAGAACCCAGAGATAACTATTGTTAATTTTGTGGGGAGTTAACATCCAGCTAGCTCCTCCTCCATGTGTAAAAGCACATGCATACAATTTGATGTAAATGAGATAGGATGCATTATGGCACTGTAACGGGACATTTTATTGTTGTTGTTATGTTTTACTAAGTCATGGAAATATTTCCTTGTCAATAAATGGAGCTTGGCATCACTGTTTTGAATGACGGTACAGGATCCCACTGTCTCAATGTATTGCAAAATACTGAGATAAGCTCACAAAAGGAGGCAGGTCTGGCCCCTCTCTAATAGGACCACCTACCAGGACAGGGATTCAGTAACCAAGGTGTCTCCGAAGAACCACTCTTGTCACACACTACACATCAGAGCTCCAGGCCAGGGGTTTGCAGGCTAAGGAGCCACATCCAGGCCTGTGTGACGAGCACACAGAAGTTTCTCTTCTATTCTCCATCTCCCTCCTACTTGAGAGGGAGGGCTGTCTGGGCTAGATTTAGAGGAGGCATCTGCAGAGCACTCGGAGGACCTACAGCAGGGGGTGGCAAAGTTTTTCTGTGAAGGGCCAGATAGTAAATATTTTCTGTTTTGCAGGCCAGACAGTCTCTGTCACAAATCCACAACTCTGCCTTCAAGCGCAGGCGCAGCCTAGGTAATGCGTATGCAGATGAGTATGGCTGTACTCCAATGAAACTTTATTCATGGACACTACATGTCAATTTCATGTGATATTCATGTGCTATTAAATATTCCACTGCTTCTGACTTTTTTCAACTGTTTAAAATATAAAAGCCGTTCACAGCTTGTGGATGTACAAAAAGTAGTGGTGGTGGGTGAGTCTGAGTCAGTGGTTTGCTGATCCCAGGCCTAGAAGACAAAGGGAAGGCCAAACCTTGATCTGAAACGTGTCTACCGGACTGCACTGATATTCTTCTCACTGAATTCTGCCCTTTACCACAGCCTGAGAGGCCCACCCCTCCACAGAGCTGACATCCTTCCTAGCCTGTAGTGCCACGTGGCGTTACATTATTGATTTCACTGACTATCTCTAATACATAATATAACTCCCCCACTAGAAATGTAAGCTCCATGAGGTTGGTACCTTTTCTGTCTTGTTTGCTACAGTATTATCCTTGGTGCTAAAACAGAACCTGGCACAGAGAAGGCTCTCAATAAATACTGGCTGAATGAAGGGCATGCTGGGTGCATGGAATCAATTCCTTCCTTATTCTGGTCCACAGGTCCTGTATGACATGACCCCCTTCCATGTCTCCAACTTCATGGCTTCCCATTCATTCTCCTCCTCGCTTACTCATCGGTGGGAGCCCCCGCCCCTCCTAGCTGGAAGACCTGGCTTCAACATCGCACTCCCCCCTAAGGTCTCCTCTGTTCCCAGAGTGCCTGTGCTCCCCAGCCAAGTGCCAATCACATCGCCAGTCCATGTCTCCGTCCCTCTGACTGAACTGTAAGATCTCCAGGCCAGGCTCCAGGCCTCGAATTTCACTGATGAAATGAGAGAAGGTATTCTGCTCTTTAGTTAGGACCCCTGATAAAGTTCCCATCTACAGAACCGGTGCGACACAATCCATCCCTGTGCTCCCCTTCAGGAGCTGCACGCTCGTGTGAGGAGCCTGACCTCATCCTTTAGCTCACACCTTCACTAAGAGGATATCTGCTAATCAGAAAAAGCATTTGGTGGATGCAGGTGACAAAAATCCCAGCATGCTCGGCGGCTGGGGGAGGCGCGGTGAGGA